TCCCCCCTCCCCCGTGTCCAGCAGCTGCGAATAAGACGAAGCCGCGGACAAACTTTTTTTTTTGCTCGGCCAGCCTAGCGCCAGTCTCGAGCGGTGGGACAGTTAACCGGCAATTTTGGCCGGGATGCAAAAGTTACGTTAAACCGGTTTATGTTAACCCGGGAGCAAATAACAACGTGGGAGCCTATCTTAGGTGTGGCAAAGCTAACGGATTACTTACTTGTTGCCGAGGTGCCCAAAGAAGGTACTGGAACCGAAAACACAACATTGGTTCATGTATTTATTAACATTCATACACACAGTCATACTTGTGCAAGGTGTCAGTGTTCGGTTGTGGGGTGTAATAGCCAGGGAAAAAGTTCTATGAACTGAAAAACCCGGCGCCTATTACTTCGCAACATGGTTGTGTATTCAACATGAACTGCAAGGAGTGCAGACGACATTGCCTGTGCTAACTTAACGTCTCACGGGCAGCGCCGCGCTCTGACACCTTGGTCCCAGAAGCGGCGGCGTTTCTGACCGCAAATCGCCGGAGAGCCGGTCGACGCCGTTGAGGGGACTGAGCAGGCCGCTGCCAGCTCCACCTTCACGTCCGCGCGGCGCAGCTCGGTGTGCGGCGGCGGCTCATCGCGCGGGCCGCACCCGTCCGTCCGCTGCACGAGCCGCTTTTCGATCCGACAGCGCAACACCGGCACGCCATTGTGCTGGCTGAGCGGCGGCAGCGGCACGTAGGCAACAAAACAGTAGAAATCGATGGGCCTGGATCGGCGTTGCCAGCAACGCCGGCAGCGGCGCGGCGGGAGGCGCCAGTGCCGCCGTCGGGGACGTGTGCCCTTCGCTGCGCTCATTCGAGTTGGCCGGCCGGCCGCGCGGCGTAGTCCTTTTGACACGGTGCGAGAAGAGCCGGATGAAGGTGGACTTTTTATTGGCGTTGCTGGTGCTCACGCCGCCGGCGTCCAGTTTGGGCGGCAGGTCCGAGTACCAAGAGTCGGACAAGTCCCGCGCGAACACCGCCAGCCGGTCGTCGTCACTGCTGGCGGCGGCCCGCCGACGGCGCTGCCTCAGAATCGGACGAGTCGGTGGTACTGAGCACCTCGCGGGACGGGTAGCTGGGAGTGGGCCGGCCGCGGCCCCTGCCAGGCCGCGCCACCTTCACCGGCGCAGCCGCCTTCAAACTGCCCTTGCTGGGCGGCGGGTTGGTCGGCGGAGGCGGCAGCGGTGCCTCGACGTCAGTCCGAGTCGCTGTCACTGGGCGGCCGCCGCGGAGACGGCTTCTGTTTGACCCGCAGCCGGCCTGGGCCGGCTCGGCGCCCTCGGCCGGCGGCGCGCGCCGTTTCGAGCGTTTCACCTTTTCACTGTTACTCTCGCCTGGTCCTCAGCGTCGAGCGGCTCGGCGCTGTTCGGTTTCATGTGGCCCATGCTGCTGGGAAACTCGGGTGGGGACAGCTTTCTGACTGGAGTGCCGTCGAAGATGGAGGAGACGGGGGTGCTCGCAGAGTCCTTGCCCAATGCCCATGATAGAGCCGAGGCTCCACTGGACGCCCAGCTTAATCGGGCTATCGCCGCCCTCCTTCTATGGTGGATTCTTCGGCCCCCTACAGCCACTAGGGCCATCATATACTCCCAGATGGCGGCACCTAGGGGATGAGGGGGGGGGGTGTCTGGGCCACTTGTCCACCTCGTGGCGTCGCCAGCGACGCCTGCGAGTCGGAGCAAATGATTATGGGGTCTTCCTCGAAGGACGGGTGCTTCAGGAGATGTTGCTTTGCCGTTTTGGGCGCCACCATCTCAGATCGGTAAATGGAGCAAATCCTCCCCGCCGCCTCCCGCAGTACCAATGTTGTACTGTCTGGGTGCTCGGTGAGGACCCCAGCGCCGCCTTCCTATTACTCCCCCGGTCGCAGACCCGTCGACCCAGGCCCACGTCGCACGCTGGGGGAGCGCTCCCAGTCACGCCTCCGCAGCACTCCTCCTCGCTGTCGCGGACGCCCCGATCGGCAGCAGGTCCAGGTGGACCGTGACGCCGTCTGTTGGCGTCTACGGGGGCAGTCTCGTGGATAAGCGCGCCTCGGCGGGCAGCGCCACTCCAGTGGTCCCACACCGCTCCCCCGCGCTGAGCGCTCTCTCCAGCCGGTCACTGACTTCAGTCACGGTTGGAGGGGGGGGGGGCTTCCGCCACGACGCGGCGGGTCCTCCGACGGGAGGGAGAGCGCCTTCGCCAGTAGGCGCGACGCCAGCGCATCCCTCCTCATCTCTCCATCGGCACGACGCCCGCCTCGGCCCTCACGGCGAGTCTTGGAGCATGGAAATCGGGCAGCCAGTGATGACTCATGCCACCATCAGCATCTCCGCCTCCAGGACGCCAAGATGTGTGGCCGCAGCCGCAGGCAGCCACGCCGACCCCGCTGCCCGCATGCCCAAGTAGTCTCGAATCGCTGACACCTCTCCTGAAACAAGAGTGGTGTCGTAAACTTAAACCCCTTGCTGGAGCCCGCCAGCCGCGACAACACCGCCACACCAATTTTTGTGACCCCGGAACTTCCGTCCCGAGCCTTATTTCACGGCACGATGCTACAGTGCGCTACACGTATTGTGGTATTCAGCTTCCATGGAAACATCAACTAATTTGGACGCTCAAACATGGGAGTCAGGAGTGGTTAAGGCCCAGAGCGTTCTGTCTGGTTTATAAAACCTTGGCCAGCAGATGTAAACGTGCTTTTTGTATAAGTGGCTTAATTTTGACGCAAAAGGGCACTAACCTTCGGCGCAAATAATGCAGAAATTTCAGCGCAAATTGCAAAATAGCTTGCGCCGAACTTCGGCGCATGACGGCTTCACGGGCGTCCGGCGTACCATATGGATGTTTTCCAGTTTGGGCTGCAGGTTTTAGCTCTAGGTTTTAGACTGTAGGTTTTGGGTTGGGTTGGGCTGGGCTGGGCTGGGCTGGGCTGGGCTGGGCTGGGCTGGGTTGGGCTGGGCTGGGCTGGTTGGGGTGGTTGGGTTGGGTTGGATTAGGTTAGGTAAGTTTAGGTTAGTTTAGTTTAGGATAGATATGAATACCTATTTTTTGTAAGTTGAATTATTTTTTTCATTTTGTAGCATCATATGCCTTCCATCTTTGAACTGCCATATTCAAGCACCAGAATAAGTATGGACTTGAACCTTTTCCAGTCTGGATGCCTGTATGGAAGTTGTGCAAAATCATGCAGTTGAAGGTATTGTAACCACAAATAAGAGCTCATGACTCAAGTCTCAACTTGTCCATAATTGGTTATCTTGATGTATACTTGTAGACCCTTCCTCTTACTTGGCACACAGGCATGGTGTCACAGTGTTCTAAAATTGGATTTCAATTGGGTGTCCCAATAAAAAAATCTGAAGACAAAATGAGATAGATTTAGTCTTTCCGCAAAACTGCATAATGCCATTTTTACCTCAGATTTTGTCAGAACCTTCACAGGATCTGAAATGAAATGATGTAGAGTAGATGCATCAACTGTCAAGTCATGCGTAACCTGGCAGCTGGCTGTTGAATCAAACTTTTGACATATTTTTTTAGCAAAGATGAAATAAAGCCACTTGTCATATTTTTAGGATGAAAACATTTTCCCCGTCATGTGTGGTTATTCACCTAAAATTCTGAAACATGGAACACTGTCATACCAGCATTCCATCATGTCAACCAGCATTCCGCAGCATGTTAGCAGAAGCAGCAGCATGTTATAAGTATATGAAAGATCCAAATAGGTTGTAGGTTGGTAGGTATTGGTACTAAGTTTAACTTAATAGGTTAGTAGGCAAGGTTAGGATTAATTTTAGTTGAGCATCAAGATAACCATTACGAACAAGTAACAAAATCCTTACCTACCCTTGAAAGCATTGCTTCAATCACATCATCACGAAGAACCAGACAAAATTTGTGCACATTCTTACACTATTTGACATCCTGAATCCAGATATGATGCTTTCATGTGGCGCAAATACAAGAAAAACGAATAATCAAACCCGTGCGTATTCGTATCAACGGCGCCACAATTGTAGATCAGACCTTTTCTGAACAAATGCCACCACAATTTTAATTGATAAGGGATTAAAATGGCATGAGCATCAACATCTTGATTTTTTCTAAAAGATAGCGATAACTGATAACTAATAACTTACCATTCATTTTGAAATCACGGCGGTAGGTACACCAACACATGGCACTGAAAACAGCAAAAAACGGAATGGCGGAATGTCGTATGGAGCCCTAAAACGCAGCTCGAATTGAGCCCGAAAAGGAAGACGAACTGATGCCGCTTTCGGGGCTAATGTACTTTGAGCCCGAAAAGGGCGCCTAACTGATCCCGATTTTAAAATCATACAGATTTGAGCCCTGTTTTGGCACTCATATGAGCCCTTATTCAAAAATGTTCTCAAAGTGTTTTCTGAGTGGTTCGCAATCGTCGTACATGCCGAACAATCTCATCATTTACCGAACTGGGGAGCAACTCGATTATTAGAGAAGGGCGCACGAAAAACGACACGAAAAATCTTAGAAGCGGCTCACATATCAGCACGCGATACCATCAATACTAGGACTGGATTTATAACTTTAGCAACATGCGCTGTAAGCCTAGTGGCAGGACCCCGATAGATAATCTCGTGATTGTGATCTATTTTTCGAGTGCTATTTTATATTTTTGTACAAGCTGCCGGTGACAATTTCTGTCCTCATTTCTGTTAACACAGTGACCAAGGTATTTTCATACCGAAAGCTTTGTGTGTCTAAATATACATTTGACGTGTTATTGTTATCATTTATCATAGCTGTGAAAATAACTGTAATGTTTTTTAGATCTGAGACAGATTGATTTGAACAAGGCGTTCTCCTTCCGCTCTCCCTAAAATTTACCCAGCGAATCAAATGACTTATTTTCGTATCCCTACGTCATATGACCAGTAAACGCATCACTGATGGTTCCCTTGTAGCACTGATCCCCCTCTGTCTGCGTCCACAGGGTATTCTGGGCTCGGGTCTGGCCCTGAAGGTGCAGCAGCAGCAGCGCCAGAAACACATGATCCGGCGCCGCCACCCGGCTGCCATCCTCATCCAGTGTCTCTGGCGCTGCTACGCTTCTGACGAGCACTCGCTCTCGGTGGCCACGTGGCGAATACATCAGATCCCCTACCCCAGCCCGCCCACGTGAGTGTTGCCGCATGATGCTCTGGGACGTCCACATTGCAGTGGCAAGGTGTCTTGGAGTAGGTAATGCGCCACAACCAGCCGAGAGTGGCGTTAGGGAGTGGTGCTCCTCAGGAAGGAGTATGCTGCTGAAACGGTGTGTCTTGATGGGAAATGGGCTACTGCATGGCTTACAGTGAGGGGTGCATTGAATCTGGTGGGTAAGACAAGGTGGCTATCGTCCTTTGCAGCATTCATGTGAGGAACATGTAAAGGATGCCCTTCCCCGTGTCATATACCCTTTTATTATCTGTCTGTGCCTTTTCACTCGCTCCCTACCTGAATGCTGTTCTTGTGATCACGGTCATGTAAACATGCACTTAATAGCTACAATGTACAGTCTTGCTTTGCAATGTATTGTACATGTAAAACGTGGTATTGTGATTGTAAATGCAACTTCTTTACCCACACCCACCAACTTTCTTTTCATTTCTTGCTATCATCTCACTAGCTACATGCTACTTTTGTACACAAATGTTATGCCACCCTATCAAACCGTCTGTGTATTTGTACCATACTTTCCCTCTTCCCTCATCCCTCTCTCCCTAACCTAGAACTCCGCTCTCCCCACTCTCTCTCCCCCTCCCCGTGCTTGGGTGTCCGTGCCGTGTGCCATGCATCGCCCGCTACGTGGCAGCCGACCGGACACCACCGTCTGCCATGCCGCTCTCTCCGGTCGCGTCCCTCTCTCTACTCTCTCCCTGTGTGTCATGTTCTCTCTTTCTCTCTTTCTCCTGGTGTCTGTGAAGGGCAAAATCTGAGGAGCAGGCTCCCATGAGCCAGCGACCGCTGCTACCCCCTTCTGGCTCCGGATTGTGAGTATGCTGCCCTCATTAGGATGGGGTTAGGTAGGCAGCGACCTGGCAGTTTCATGGTACGCCGTAGCTATAGAAGCTGTGGAGAGAGGATCTCACAAGCTCGACGCTCGGGACTCGGCTTAGCATGTGGTTGGTCGGCGTTTGACAGACCGACAAGTTCGTGGCGCTCCATTGGATGTGCTGCTAGAGCTGCTGGCTTCGCTTTAGAGCTATAGTCTAGAACACAACGGAAAGGTAAGCTGTTGTTGCAGTTTGACCTATATAGCTCTAGAGAGGTTGCGGTCTAAATTAAAATTAATCGAGTTATAGTTCCATGCGCTATTGGCAGTTTGTATTTTTAGACTGACATTATTTTTGGCGAATATTAATGCTTATCGATTTTTTTTTGTCCAATATAGGAAATGTTCTACGCTACTTGTATATCTTTAATTATTTATTGTCGGACTTTCTCTCCGTCTCTCTCTGTCTCTCCGGTCTCTCTCTCTCTCTCTCTCTCTCTCTCTCTCTCTCTCTCTCTCTCTCTCTCTCTCTCTCTCTCTCTCTCTCTCTCTCTCTCTCTCTCTCTCTCTCTCTCTCTCTCTCTCTCTCTCTCTCTCTCTCTCTCTTATTGGATGGCATTTACTTAGGTATATGGGGCATGCCTAATCTTTTTCTCCTCATCGTTGCATGAACCGTGAAGGCATAGAACATGCCGGTGTATTCATTCGTCGATTACGCCACATTCATCAGATGTCGATGGTTGTAAGGAACAGTGTTTTTCTTATACACGTTGTTGCAAGCAGTGTGCTTGCTGTTTATTTCGTTGATTTTTATTGGTTTTGTTTTATGTTCAGTCCTTCGGCCAGACCCAGATATCCCGGTCAATAATTGGCTTCCACAATTGACGTGGATGGACTGGAACAAACTGGACTGCTCAGCACCCAACTGGACTGCTCTTCCTGACCACAGGTGGTCAAGAGAGTTTGCACGCTAAGAGTATGCCTCTCCATATGGGATTATCTGGCCAAGTAGTGCTGGTGCATATACTTCTCTAAATATAGAGATGACTCTGGCTTGTGCTTTAACTCTCGATCGACATTTCTGGCAAAGACAAGGCTCTTGTCTCCATGGAATCGTGTTACCTTACACATACCTGCCACTGCTTGCAAAAAGCTGAGTACCTATGAGTACCTATTTCATTGTTTAGCTGACATTTTACCAAAAACATCCCTTACTTAGTTCGATGAAATTCTAGATGTTAAAAAAAAAAACACTTATAAAGCAAAACAACGGAATAACACACAAACCTCTCCAACAATTTTTCTCCGTTCCGCTGCGCTTGCAAATGCATGACTGATGAATATGGGTCTGTGTATTCGTACGTTTGTACACCCGTCATGCACTTTGGGTGCAGATTACGCTTACACAGCCAGCAATGCATGGAAACACAGTACCACAGGCGGCGGCGGGGTGGCGGTGGACAATCGGAAAGACAAGAACGCTGAACAATGTGTAGGATCGGTGCTCGCGGCACGGCGTGGGCGCACAGACTGAGCCAATAGTGTTGGAGCCACACGGCAGGTGTCGCTGCAGTGGCGCCCGCGGACAGAGAAAGTTTTTGCCGCACGACCCCGTAGGTGTCGCTCGTCAAATGCATTTCTCCGTTCCGCTGCGCTTGCAAATGCATGACTGATGAATATGGGTCTGTGTATTCGTACGTTTGTACACCCGTCATGCACTTTGGGTGCAGATTACGCCCAACACCCCATCTGCACCCGCGCGGAACGGAGAGGCATTCGCTATGAACAAAATTGCCAGGGCGGCAGAAAGCTAATGGAAAACGATGGATGCCTCTGGATTAACAGACGTGGCGATAACGCGACGGCAGAGGACATGACATGCCGCGCACGGCGTAATTCACCTCACGCGACGCACAAACATGGCACCGTCGGCGGTGCGGCTGTGGCGTAGAAACGGCAGTTTCATCTGGGTTATAGCTGTGCGGGCGAGCTAAACCAACAATGAACACGCGAGCCCGACGTTACACATATACAGATACATCACTGTGGCGCGCAGCCGGGGAGTTGGGACTGCCGCTCCGCCGGCGAGGGCGGCGGTCCCAGAGCCCGGACCTGAAACAGGCAGCTGACAGACTACCGCTCCGCCCGTGAGGCGGGGGTCCGGGGGCCCGGACCTAAAACAGGCAGCTGACAAGACTGCCGCTCGCCCGTGAAGGCGGCGGTCCGGGATCCCGGACCGAAAACAGGCAGGTGGCCAAGGACGCCGCCGCTCCGCCTGCGAGGGCGGCGGTTTGGGAGCCCGGGCCTGAACAGGCAGCGTCGGGACTGCCGCTACGCCTGCTAGGGCGCGGCCCGTGCACCCAGACCTAGAACGGGCAGCTGTGGCTCGGGTTTGGGAGCGGTAGCGGTGGAAGGCCGGCAACGTTAACCCTCTTTGGACGGGACCCGCCGCTTAGGATGCCTGAAGGAGGGAGACCGGCCGCCGTACGTATCGCCGCACGGCCTGGGACGACCAGCGGCCGGCGTGGCAGAGTTGGGGCTCCGTTAGTCCGACTGCGGCGCCGTGGGAGGCGCCGCTGATGCGAAGGCAGTGCCCGGAGAGGCGGGCTGGGTTGAGACCAGCTCGACGGCCCGCCATGCGAAGTACGCGAGTGAGATCGCGCGATGTCAGAGGGCGGCGATGGCCGCCGATAAACAGTGCGTCATCAGGAAGGCCCGTGCCGCGGACCGCGAGGTAGTCGCGGACAGCGGCGACCGGACACGTGGCAAGATCAGGCCGGGCTCGAAGCGTGGTGGTGAACGGGGAGGCCGACGTTTTTGAGGATGGAATGGTGAGAGAAAGCTGGGGGCCGACGAGACTCACGTGGCTGAGTCGGACTGTGTGGGTCAGGTCTCGGCCGCGCACGACCTCGCCCGGGCGAAGCATAGCAAAGAAAGCCAATGTAAAGATGGCACGGAATGCAGCACGGTCTACCGGGGAGAGGCCTAGGAAATGGAGTGCGGCGCAGAGCTCGCCGAGCTCGGTCAGGGAGACGGCGAGGCGGTTGTCCGCACTCGGCCGTAGCCGGCGGGATCCCGCTAACAGCTGTCGCACCCGGAAGTCCGCCGTGGGATCCGGCGCGCCGGCTAGCTTGTGGCCGTAGGAGATGGCAGACGCCTCGGCGGCGAGGGTGGAAGCGGAACAGCCCTGCTCGTGTCGAGAGGCCAGGAAATCAGCAGTGTCGGCCACTGAGATGGGAAACAGGGCAGCAGTGGGCGGCAGAGTGAGGAAAACGCGGATTTGGCCCCACACTGCTCGATAAGAGCGAATGGTGGCAGGAGCTAGCGCGGCACCAGCTAGCTGGTGAACGGTGAGAGCGTGCCGCAGGCCGGCCAGTCCCAGGACGTCGGCGTGGCTGCTGCGGACGGGCGGAGCTCCTTGAAGACCTGCACAAGACCGCGGGACAGGGCGTCAGCTGCTGCATTGGCGATGCCGGGTATGTGCACGGCACGCACGAGAATGTTATGAGAGACGGTGGTGAGAAAAAGGAATCGGAGCCATGGCATTAGGGCAGGCGAGCGAGATGACTGAGAGGTTATACAGGCCACCACAGCGGAGTTATCTGAGCGCACAAGGACGCAGCGATGCGCGAACCGATCTCGCCACACGTGCACGGCTACAGCGACAGCCACTAGTTCCAAAACGCTGATAGGGGCCTCGCGGAGGGACGCGGGCCACGGCCCCAGGAGCCAGTCCTCGCCGCAGATGGCACCGAGCCCGACCGAGCTGGAGGCTTCCGTCTCCAGGATAAGACCCGGCTCCAACAACCAGCGCCGGTGAGCGAGAATCGCGCGGCCTGGGAAACGGTCTAGAAACAGCAGCCAGGCGCGCATATCCTGTCTGGCCGCCCGGGTGATCGTGACGCGGTGGTGAGGGCGCGACACGCCGCGACACAAGTCGAACATGCGCCGTAGGAACGGGCGACCGAGTGGCACTGCGGTGCACGCAAAGCTGAGGAGCCCCGTGCATTCACGGACCATGCGGAGGGGCGCTTTCCGGCGGGCCAGCAGGCTCGTGAGGCCTGCCCTGGCACGTGCCAGCTTGTCAGCTGGCAGCCGCAGCTGAGGGAGTCATTCGCGGCCGGGGCGGCGGGTGCCGGGGAGGGCTGGGGCGGCGCGGCGAGGGCAGGCGAGCACGCTATGGGGGCCACGGCAGAGGCGGCACTCGTGCCGGAACAGGCACGGGGACCGGCGGCACCCGGCGGCGCGATTGTAGCCGAGGCAGAGCGCGCGAAAAGAGCCAGACGCGGCGGCCGGCCGGCTAGAGCCGCCCCGACCCTCGCCGCTTACACCGGCTGCAGACCCGGCCCGAGAACCGGCGATTCCGCGAGCGATTGCGGTGAGCCAAATGGGAGACGTGGCCGCCGTGGAGCCCCATGGGTGAGCTTCCGGGCAGAGGCCCCGTGCGCGCCGAAAGGCCTCATCGAAATCGCGCCACGCGAATCCAAGGCCGGGCGCCTGCAGCGAGGACACTTGTTGCATGTGGCGCAACAGACCGGAGGCGTCAGCGGGGTGGGCAGCCAAGTACACGGCCGCGTATCGAAGAAACGCGGTGGCCCAGGCGCCGAAATGCGGGATTGGGCGGCGCTGTACCGAGGGACGGAGACGGCCGTCGATAAGGCAAAACAGCCCTGGTTCTGCCGGGGGGATAGAGTCGTTGAGGAGAGTGTTTAGGTCAATGAATTGATGGGACACGATGAGGGCCGCCACCGCGGGGGATACGGCAGCGCGGGCCGCTAGGTCGTCACCTGCGGCATTTTCCACCGGCGCCGGCGGACGGCCGGCGACGGGCAACTGCGCCGCTGGCAGGTGCGCAGGTGGAGCAGGGCCGGCGGCGGTCGGAGGGGCGCCGGAGAGAACCGCCGGGAGCGCCATTGGCCCGGCTTGCAGTTCGGCAGCCGGCGTGTAGGCGTGGTCGGCGGACGTCAGATGGGCAGCTGGCCCATCCTGGAGACGCTGTGCCGGACCGCGCTGCACGGCGACCGTCGCCGGCGGTGATGGCTCGCTGGCAGGTAGAGCGGCGGCGACGGCGGCCCGGACCATGTCGCCCACCATTGTTTGAAGAGCGGCGGGGTCGATGACCGCGGCGTCAGGGGGCGAGGCGGCGGCGGCCGACGTTGTAGCAGCATGGCCCCGCCCTGGATTGGGCGGAGTGGTGGCCATCACTGCGGCCTGTCGCCTCGCCGCAGCAGCGGGCGGGCGGCGGCTCGTGGCACCAGCGCCAGACGCGGCCGCGGCCGCCGCGGAGCGTCTCGTAGTGGCGCGTCGCGGCGCGTCCGTCCGTGGCGCTGGCAGGGGGCGTGCCGGGGCACGGCCCGCCGACGACTTGGCCCGTGACATAGCAGCTCCGAATGCATGAAAATAGACGACGATGTTAGCGGGAATGTGTATTTAAACGGCCAGCCGGTTAGGAGGGGGGGGGACACACACGACACAGCACGGGAGCGACCCGGTACACGCTAAATCCCGGAGGAGGCGTCCATAGCCTCCTGTAGCACGCTCTCCAGGGTGCGCCACCCGGCCGCGGACGGATGAACCCCATCCGACGCCAGAAAGTCAGGTGGCGGCACAAAGTGGAGCAGGAGCACCGGCGGTTGGCGGAAAAGGCGGCGCAACAGTTTGTTGGCCACCCGATTGTAGCCGAGGCAGAGCGCGCGGCGCCGCCGCCGGAAAATTCGCGCCGACACGCCGCTGGATGGAAAGCCTGTGCGCGGAGGGATGGGCAGCACATAGACGCGAACGACTCCGGCTGCCAGGAGCCCGAGCGTCAGTTCCTGGAGGTTGGCGAGCCACCGCTGAACGCGGCAGTCCCTTCTGGCGAGGTCATTTCCGCCCGCCACGAGCGTGACCACGCGAGGACGGGCACGAACTGCGGCCCGGATGGCCCAGCGCCTGAAGCCGTCGTCATTGACGCAGCCTCCGCGAACACCGGCCGCCGCCACGGCAAGGTGGGGCGAACAGCGGCGGGGGAGGTGGACAGCATAGCTGTCCCCTACGACGAGCATGCCTGCAATGAGAAAAACAAAATTACGTAAGCCCTGGACGCTCCCAGAGTGGGACGCGGACGAAACCGATATAGCATACACGGTTGCGTATACGTCCAGCCAATCTGTGACCGACTAACGCTGCAGCTCAGGCATATACCGTTGCGTACACGTCAGGCCAATCTGTGACCGACTAACGCTGCCTCTCAGGCATATACGGTTGCGTACGCGTCAGGCCAATCTGTGACCGACTAACGCTGCCTCTCAGGCATCCACGATTGCGTACACGTCTGGCCAAATTGTGACCGACTAACGCTGCGTCCCACAGAGTGGCATACGGCCAGCAGTGAGCTGACTCCAGCCCATACACCGTTGCGTACACGTCAGGCCAATCTGTGACCGACTAACGCTGCCTCCCAGGCATATACGGTTGCGTACACGTCAGGCCAATCTGTGACCGACTAACGCTGCCTCTCAGGCATACACGATTGCGTACACGTCTGGCCAAATTGTGACCGACTAACGCTGCTTCCCACAGAGTGGCATACAGCCAGCAGTGACCTGACTCCAGCCCAGATGGCCCGCTGCAGACCCGGTGCAAGACGACCCCCAATCAGCTGCGGACCTGCGGTCCGGTCGCCGGGCCAAAGGCCGCTAGGCCACGGTCACGGTCAGCTGACGTCACGGCGGGTGAATCACCCGGGCCGCCTCACGGCGCGGATGACGGTTACGTAATGACACGCCCGCGCCTGCGCCGCTGGCGGCCACGTGGCTACCAGCAGTTGCTGTCGCTGCCGCCGCGGCGCCACCAGCGCTGGAGGTGTCCACACCTACCGCTGACGTCACGATCACGCGATCGCTGGGCAGAGGTCACACGATTGCTGCTCGGACCCGCCAAGATGGCGTCAGGGTGGCTTGGCCTTGGGTGCACAGAGACATTAGGTCATGCGCGTGGACAGGGCGATGAATACAACAAGATACGAGGCTAGCAGTCTGGTGGCAGCATAAGACGTAACTCCCTGAATTGCGGCACGAGCGTAACTGCGTATACGGTCGCCGGCGCAAACGCGCTATGGCCGACGACGCGATCGCGGGCCGCGGCGCGCCCCTGCGGCCGTAGGGGACACCACAGTTGTCGGTGGTGCAGGAACCTGCGGCAAGGGCCCTAGAGGCAATGATAGAAAAAAAAAATAAAACAGCCAGCGACTGGTACTTTGGTCTGGCAGTTCCTAACTGAGAGCCGGCTGCCAGTGCCGCGAGCCCACTGGGCGAACATAAACATACGACACCACGGCCCAGCCAGGCCATCTCGGCGTAATGCACCCACCACGTGGGGAGAACTCACCAGATGTGGTCCAACTACAATCGGAAAGACAAGAACGCTGAACAATGTGTAGGATCGGTGCTCGCGGCACGGCGTGGGCGCACAGACTGAGCCAATAGTGTTGGAGCCACACGGCAGGTGTCGCTGCAGTGGCGCCCGCGGACAGAGAAAGTTTTTGCCGCACGACCCCGTAGGTGTCGCTCGTCAAATGCATTTATAGTGAAAGGCTGCTGCGTTGAGTACAATTCACCATATGACCTGGCCCGATTTGACTTGACCAATCAATACTCTCATCTGACCTGTTCTGACGTCTTTCAGTTTCAAGCACAACGCGTCGTTCGTGTCTCGTTTGCCGACAATCCGTCGGAGCCGTCCGTTGAACACATCCGCTCAGCTGGCGGCCGCCCGGGCCCGCCAGACGGACGTCAACTCGTCCCTGGAGAACATGGGCTCGGCCAGGTGAGTGTCGAGGGAATATGTGGACATTGAGCACAGGAGAAAAATGTGCCGAGAACGGGGAGAACAGGTATTGGTCACAATAAAACACATGCCTGACAGGGAAAATACATACAGGAGGTCGAGATATCATTTAAAGACTAAAAAGCACAGAAACACGAGAAGAGCGCGAAAGAGAATATGTGTTGAGGACACGGGAGAACGCGTGCTGACTACTGTCTACTGAGTACTGAAGAACGCGGGGATAACAAATCGATCACGGGCGAGCACTTGCCACTGCCAGCACATGGAGAATGTAATGAGAGCACGTACCGAGCACGGAGAGCGCAGAAAAGAAGCATGGGTCCAATGGGACATGGTCCTTCGAATGTCTGAACCTGATTGTCTAAATTGGAAATATATGCGATTATATACAGCGAAAGTCATTTGCAAATCCTGCTGCTGGCCTCGCAAGGGACTCTTGTGTAGGCAGAAGAGGTTTGAGCTCAGCACGCTCTCGCGGAGGGCAGGGCTCGTCGGATTCATGCTCGTCGGATCGTTGCTGACCCCATCCATCGTCGGCACCTCGCTAAGCCGAGCTCGACTCGGGTCCAGTTCGTGGAACCTACCGAGCGGCGCTGAGGAGCGTCCCAGATGTCTCTCCGAGGGAGCGCTGGTGACGGACTTCGTACCGCCTCCTCTCCCCACCGTCAGAGCCGCGCGCGCTGCGCTCTCGTCGAGCCGGCTCCGTGCAGTCAGCCGGCCAGCCCTGCCCCCAGGGGACGCATTAATCGCGCCGACTAGACCACTGAGGTCGGCCGAAAGGTCAGCAGGGGTCAGCCGCAGGCGGTGCGGAGGTCGTCATCAGCTCTGGCCGCTCAATTAGTAGCAACCAGCCGAGAGCGGCGCCGTCTGGCTGCCTGTGGAAATCGCATCGGGGATAGGAGCGGCAGTCGATTATGTGAATCAATGAATTGATTATTATTACCTAGCCGCCTCATTCTGTCCATTGACACATAAGCAAAAAAAAAAAAAATACAATAGGAAAACTTCAACCGATTTTTTTTTGCGAGGAAAATCCAAATCCAGCGTAATAGGTCAATGGCACAAAGTTGTCACCTTATGTATTGCACAATTTGTGCACATCATCTCTGTCACAAGCTACACACCAAACTTATAACTTCCTCGACGCTCACAGCTTTCATTCACGTACACACATTACAAATATTTATCTTGCTCCTTCCCAAGTCGCACTGTCGCATCTGTTTCCCTCTTCTGTTGCAGGTTACACCCCAGTCACAGTGAAGACTCAGTGACTAGGGACAGTTCAGACGTGTCGCTCGGAGTAAAAAAGAACTCAGACGGTAAGCATTCGCAGCATGTGAGAGCCAGCCACGACCCCAAACTTTTCCCGCGTGCTCTAAATGTATCAAGCATGCAAAATGTTAGAGGTATTCTTTATAATATCGATGGCTTCAATAATTTAATCCCTTTTTAGATATAAAATTTACGTGAAAAAAGATAAATTTATGCACTGAATTTCTAAGAAAATAGTGATTTCATTTGAAGGGTAGTTGACATAACTATCGGTTTTTTTTCATTTAGCCATTTCTAAATATTTCCTGCGGCTCAAAATAGTCCCGATGAAACTTAAACAGCTGAATAGTTCATAACTTTTGTATGATGATTGCTACCAAACAAAACTTATGAAGTTGGTTTGCATCCATTGCAGGAAAATAATAGCCGTTTTCACGACGGGATGTCTGGCGAATGCGCCTAATTTGACCAAATCTGCATCATATCTCTTTTACCACAAATATCTTTATATCACAAAATGATTTCAGTGTTTAAAATTAAAAATAATACATCTGATATTTAAGCTTGATGCTTTTATTACTATAAGCCCTAATTCTAGTAGGTATACCAACTTATCTGACATACTTTCCAGTTTCCAGCACTTTATTCATATGGTAGTTGACTGACATCGGATACAGAGCTATCGTGTAAAATCTAATCAGGATAAAGCATTTGGAATGCTGAAGAGAGTGCTGTCTCTCGCGTGAAAGAATTCAATAGTGCAAATGGACAGCTGTTTTGTTTGTCTTTTCCGTCAGCTATTCGAGGTTCCCAGACCTAGTTTGCATAAGGCAAATTGGGTGCAGAAGGAACTCATTTACATAATAGGGTAAACCACTCGAGAGCATCTTATGATATGCTCGTTGTTATGCTTTCGTTTTTATCCATGTCGATTACTTGGTATCTGTGATCTAGATCGTAACAATTTTCTTAAATCGTTTGGCTGTTCTGTATGATTCCGTAGTTTTGACTTGCGCCAGTAGTATAAACGCCGCAACGCAGACTTGTAGTTCCAACCTTAGTTCAATAGCAAAGATACCTTTCTAACGGAATTGCACTTCAGAAGCGTAGCTTCGTATCGGTGTTTCGTAGTCAGTTATCAAGCCCAATATCCCAATAAGGGTTATGACTTAGTCACGTGCCGGTGACTTAGCTCCTGTCCTGCATTAATCTAGCCTTTATTCATAGAGTTGATTGTGTGTTACTTGTATACGTATATTATCGTTGTGTCTCTAGCTTGGCCTTGCCTTACATTTCTCCGTCGTTAAATGTAGCCCGATACCGCAGCGCTGTCGGTACGTAGGGGATTTCAGGCTGAGTGTGCTCTCCCGGTAGTTCCCCCGCTGTCGGTGGGTAGCTGTATTTCAGGGTGGGTGTGCTCTCCCGGTAGTTCGCCCGTTGCCCGGCTGCCCGCTGGTTGCCCCTCTGGCCGGCCTCAGTCTGGCCGGTCTGCAGCCGCGGCCGGCCGCCGGCGCCGCCTCCGTCCCTGCCAGTCCGACGCGCGAGGTACCAGCGCTGTGCAGCCTGCTGCAGCAGACCGCTGTCGGCCTCGAGCAGCGACTCCAGTCGGCCGGGTCCACCGGCTCTCGGCGCAGCTCGCGGAGGGCGTCCTTCTTCTCCTGCAAAGGTGACGGGTCTAGATGACCCTGTCCGATCGGCCACGCACTGCCACCGTGTCTGTCCGCGCCCGCCTGCGGTCTGCACCAGATGGGCCCGACTGCCGCCGCCGTCCGCGCACGCACTGTGCACATGTTCAAGTACTTGCTCACGATACGTGCACGGAGCACATGATGAAGTGTTTGTTCACGGAAAGCGTGACATGCACGGTCTATGTACACGCGCAATTATGCGTAAGCCAGAGCACGCGAGCAGAGCTCAAGCTCACCCATCCGCACAGTTCTAAATGAAGACAGCACAGGAGAAAACGCGCTGTTTTACGAAGAATGCACAGAAAGAGCCTACAAATTTCACTCGCACAAATCCACATGCAAAATCGATGTCACGTGTTTGTCCGATGAGCTTCACGGCCTTCCGTCCGCTTCGTTCTTTGCCACGAGAGAATCAGCGTGGTGGCCAGTAACGATCGGTGCTTCAACGCTTCGCTTCATGGTCTGTGCGGTCCAGTCTTGAGGTCGCCCAGGCACATATTATGTCGATCTTGCGCGTAAGATGACGCATGAGAACAGCAGCGAGCTTCATAAAGCATTGCTGACAAACAGCTATCTGCGACTTGTCTTGCTTTTACATCTCGCACAGAAGCCGAGGCTTTTACTGTTCAGTTTTCTTTGAATCGCAATGTTTCAAACGTATGCATATCTTTCTTCTCATACATTATGAATGTAACCATTGGCATGTTTGTCCACTGTGCTTTGTGAGCTGGCTGTCGTCGCGTTCTGGTCGACTCTGCACGTCAGTTGACCGTTCAGTTTCCTCCAGAGATTTGCTGGGGGTGGTTTCTGCTCGTCTGCTATCTCCTGCTCGGTGACAGCAGAACCAGCAGCCAATCGGCCCGGCACGTCGACGCCACGGTTATTGTCTTTTTATAGTCGGCAATCGACGAGACCGCCGGTTTTACGCCATCGACGTCTTTCCTTTTGTCGGCGGTGGTGGGAGTCCTCACAAAATAACTCACAAGACACAAGGCGTGTCCCCAGTTTTGCTAGGCGTTTCTGCGACAGGGAGCCGAACTGACCCATGTTTGTACACACAGAAAAATATTAACACCGTTAGCGGTGTAATTGCACAGTACATATCTGAGCACTTGAGCCGCGAAATTTGGTATGACTTTTCTCTCATCAATTTTACACATGGTGTGCAAGTTTGAACCTCCTAACTTTTAAGGTCAGGTCACCAGGTCACTTTGAATGACCCAACCTCAAGTCACTTTTTTGCAACTTTGTCACCGTGCCAGAGCTACAGTAGATGTCGGAGGCCTTTGAAAGTCGCAGGATGTTATCAGGTCATTAGTAGCTACAATTTGTATATCTCGGAATTTTGATGTCGGTGACCTAAGGTCAGGTCAATTTCGCGACCTCCCCATTATAAGTCAATGGGGGAAAAATCAACTCCCTGTTTTTACCACTAAAACGGGTCGGAATGGCCCCATATACCATACATGACTTCACATACGATCAACCTTCACTACCTTGAGGTCTGTTTTGCTGTTGGGCAGCTGTAAGGTCATGTGACGTCATCAAAGGTCACCAAAGGTTTTTTGCCAATAACTCCTTACAGGAACAAGATACAGCCGCGCGGATGGTCTCATTGTGTTCAGCTCGTCAAGACGCATCGAATGATATACATGATGACCTCGAGGTCACGTGACCTGAGGTCAACCTTTGACCTTGACCTTTCGAGGTCAACATATATATCATTCGATGCGAATTGACGAGAGGATCACGATGATGCCCTTAGTTTGTTCCTATCTTGACTACTTCGAAAGTTATTCGAGAAAAACCCTCTCCATATCTAGCGCCGCCATTTTGACTTTTTCAACCCCTGTGACGTCATCTTTGACCTGACCTGAAAATGACCTTTGTAAAAATTGTAGACCTTGTCCGTGCGTATCCGATGCCGTTTACCGCTTGTCGCTATCTTGCTTCGTTCTCGAGATCTCAGGGGGGGGGCGGTCATCCGCCCCCCCCCCCCGTCGGTACTAAGTTGGCGCAGACCCCCGTCGGTGCGCGGGTTAATTTAGTCCCTTCCCCGCTTAAATTACTCGCGCTTCTAAATGAACACCAGGAAGAAGGTAATAGAACAATGTTAGGAGGGTTGGGTGTTTTACTACATGTAGCAAAACACCCAACCCTCCTAACAGTGTTCTATTACCTTCTTCCTGGTGTTCATTTAGAAGCGCGAGTAATTTAAGCGGGGAAGGGACTAAATTAACTTTCCTCAAGTGCTCAGATATGTACTGTGCAATTACACCGCTAACGGTGTTAATATTTTTCTGTGTGTAGGTTCGGCTTCTGTTTGCAGCTATATGCCTCCAGGGTTTCCCCTGAGCTGACATGTTGAGATCTAAGACAGCCACCATCGACGTATATCAGCTAGACACTTTTGGTGTAGCAATCTGTCTGACTGTCCTGTGTCGGTGCAGACAGGGACTTCCCGAGTACCCAGCGTTCGACTACTCGACTGAGTGACTGTCAGGCTGACCTTCCCGACCTTACAGACCGATTTTCGGGCCTTCTGCCCGACTGGTGCCGTGCGAAAATCCTCCTCGCCAGTCCTAATCACTTCATTAGGCGCCAGTGTCGGCGGCTGTACCGGCCCAGAGACCTGATCCGGATATATTGCACGCTGATGTGGCGTGAGCAAAACGGAGCCAGGCGTGACATGACGAGGAAGGCGTGCTCTGGAGTAACACGCAGTAACCTACACTGCAGCTGGAAGCACTGACACACTAACAAATAATGAAAATATTTGATATCCTGCCCGCGCCATATGCTGCAATATCATGCAACTGAAGCAACACTTGGTATTTTGTGTGATGCTGTAAATTACATTTATGAAACGTTTTCGCGAAGTAAAGAATAAAAATGGGTCATGTCCAAGAACTTTTTTATGAAAAGCATGTAACCGTAAGGTAGCCGTAGATAAAAGACATTTATCAGTTCAGCACTTGGAAAAATGATTTGACGTGCTTGACTGATGCTAAAAGCATTATTGATGTGATAAAGCGCATTTGTTTTCGCCAGGCATTGCCGAGACGTTCAAAATGAAATAACATTTAAAATCAGTTTCCGGCGCCTTGACCGGTCAGGCGAGATAACGTCCCAATAAATGTCACAGTCTAGAGATATGTGACAGCGCATAGTCATTGGAAAGCTGAGTTTAAAAACAAAACTAGAAATTTATTTATTATAAAATGTAAACCATAGCTCATCAATACATGCAATTTCACAGATGACATGCAAGGTGCTAATGGTCTGTCACCACCTGTGAAATGCAGGCATGTCGCACTGAGTTGAAGTCGCAAAAAGTCACACTGATTGTCTACTTCAGTTTGTTTTGTGACAGCGCGCAGGGCGTTCGTTAGTCGTGACATCCGCTGACAGTCCTTTGGCGTTTACGCTTCACGCTTTGCGCTGCAGCTGTCTCGTTTGCGAGGCTGTCGGCAGCAGTGACAGATTGTTGGTCTGTGTTTGTCTGTCAACCTGCCCGCCCCGTCTGTTGGCTTGTCTGATCTTGTTTTCCGGCTCAGTTACCGTCGTTTGATAAGCTAGTTTTCCTCGGTTGTTTTGTCGGGGGTTCTGCCCTTCCCAGTTTGTGGATCGTCCTCTGCAATGCACTCGAATTATTGTGCAATCTCTCTGCGATTTACTCGAATTATTGTGCAATCGATTGAGCACGTCTTGCCATTTACTGCTCACTGCATCTATATTACAATATTATTTTTAGTCGCGGTGAAAAGATGTTTCGTTACGTTCAGAGAGTCGTGTTAATTGGCTATGTTTGTTGCTGCAATTACCTTGTTACGTTCAAAATATTAGCATGTTCATGACAACAGGCAGTGCTGGCCGAGTGCCAGTTTTTTTCTTATACAATGTAAGGTGGTTGACGTCGAACTGCTCTCAATCCTTCACGCTTACAGAGAAGGCTGACCTAGAGTACTTACTTTCTAGTCTGTCTTCTCTTCTTATGGACATTTTCTCTCCCGATCAAAGCGCCATGCCCGCTGTGTGGTAATCGACAACTAACAAATTTGCCCTCACCACCACCGTCCGTCGCCAAGTTGTCAGCCCATGGTGCCAGCCGCCGGTTGTCGCTCGTCGCTGTCGTGCGGCCCCCGTCGGGCAGTAGCGCTCCGGCGGCGTGTCACGGGGCCTGGCGACTTGTTCCGTTCCCAGGCCGACGTCGATGGGTGTTGACGGCTCTCGCCGCGTCGCCCGGTCACAATAGACGGCTGGCTTTGACAGCCATCAGCGCCGGGGCGGCGTCACAGATGGGCGCGGCGAGGCGACGGGCGGAGAGAGCCTGCCGCCACTGCGGAACGCTGACAGGATTTTTGAACTTCCGACTGGAGAAAATGAGCTAGTCTGCCGGGAGAGCCGGGTCTGTTCCGAGGATGAAACTCGGAGAGCTTTGCAGATTGTTACAGCTTCGGAAAACGGATGTTCCTTTTGCGACGCGTCGATAAATTGTTATACGAAGTATCGGTAAGCTGTAGTGTTGTTTTGACTCTGCTTCTCTGCAGCCATGTATGCCGTGATTTATTCTCCAATTTGTTTTTCATTCAGGAAGATTACTGGGTTTCGGATGCACGAGTTGATATATCTCCGTTCCGTTACATACCATGCCTTGTGATGTCTGCATACAGTTTCATGGAAAATTTGATCAGATTTTCCGCCCTTTAAATTTTGAACCTCCCTAAATATTTATTTGACCATCACTTGGCCGTCGGCCCTCAACGGACCCATTAATTTCATGCTTGTAGCCCGCAGCGAGCGCTGTTCACGAGCTACATGACTAGCCGTGTTCTGCCATAGACATCATCGCCCGCAATATGTCATCCACAAATCGCGCCCCATAATTCCAGCGCGCCGTCTATTCGCCCTGCCCAGGCCATACTCCGGGTCGGTGGGCTCGCTGATTCCGAAGTGATGCATCGTTGTCGCTTTGATGATGCCTGGTGCCGCACTGGTGCCCTGGTGCTGTGTGCTGTCGCTTTGATGGCGCATGGCGCCTCGCTGGTGCCGTTCGGTTAGGCGGTGGTGACGCGATGGTGCCGCTGCGACTCTGTGTGTGGTCTAACCCGCTGGTGCTACCTGGTGCGGAGGTGGTGATACAGTAGCGCTGGTGTGTGGTCTAACGACCGCCGGTGCTACCTGCGGCGCTGGTGATGCAGTGATGCTGGTGCGTGGTCTAACTCTCTGGTGCTGCACGTTGCAGATGAGGAGGAGGACGTACAACCGAGGGTGACCCAGCTCACCACGCAGCACAAGAACGCCATCCGTGCTCTGCGGAAGGTCAGTGACCTTTGGCGGGAGGATAGTGACAGAGGGGAGACCGATACAGCGGTGGAGATGGGGAGGGTCGTTACAGGTCAGAGAAACAAGTAGACATGTACAAAAAGTGTTATGATTTAACGTGTCATTTGAGATGTTCCTAGTCAAACACTAAAGAAGCCGCATTATTGCCTCAACTTTAAATAATCGAAAATGTTGCAGGCAATATTGCCTTATAAGTTGAAATCGAGGCGCGGAATTAGAAGCTGATGACTTCTTTGAGAGGCTCTTCGCCATTCAGAGAAGATCAATACGTATTCAGAAATGGTGGTTTCTTGAAGTCCTGTTTATAAAGGAGGCTCATTTCCTTCAGAGGTAGACCCTTGAAGTCGCTAGAGCCGTACCAGGCTGGATAACTTTCACACTTCACGGGAAACTTTAACAACATCCATCAGCACCCGTCTCGGCTCGCGGTCTTAGTTTGAACCACTAGCCTTGATGTCATCTCAAGCATAGCTTCAAGAAATGATTTAGGGTCATGTTAGGCTCAGCGATATAGCCTATAATAGCCGTTTTCACGACGGGTGATCTGGCCAAAGCAATATGCATCAAACTTGAACAGCTCTACACATTGCTCTTTTACAGTAAATATTTTCATACCATGAATTTATCTAGATGCTGAAGTCGCACCAAATGTGACTTAATAATGTTCCAGATGACCGTTGTGAAAACTGCTAACAGCTGATGGTGCTGGCTCGCTAGATGTTTGTGTTCAAACGGAGAGGGTATACTGTGCCGCAATATCCTAACGCCGTGCGGCGCAGTGTGGCATCCATCATTCGGCCTCAGTGCTGAATGACGAACTGCTGAAGTAAAGCGTATGGCTTTATATATTGGGCTGGCCTTACAATCAATTCAATCAAACGTTGTTACTGACATGCCAGTTAGTTGTTCAACAGTAACGTACCGAAATGCACCACTTGGGTTTGCTAAATGCTCATCAAAGGTTGATTGATTTATGCAGATGTGCATTGTCGCTCAATGTTCTTTGATATTTGTTCACAGAAGGTGTGTCAACCGCACGCAGCTGTGTGTCTGACGCTGCTGAGCGGCTCGCTCCGTGCGTGGCGGCCGGCCGTTACCATTTTCAGAGCCGTCCCCCGGAAACGACGGTGATCAGCGCTGCTGGATCCTCGTCCAGACAAACTGACGCCACTCAATCCTCTCCTCCGATAGATAAAATTTTTCGTAGCCCGTCGAAAGTTCCGAGAGGCGCTAAAGCCGTACGATGTGAAAGATGTTATCGAGCAGTACAGCGTGGGCCACGTGGACCTCATCAGTCGCGTGAAGGCGCTGCACGCCAGGTAGCCCGCTCCACGCCGCGCCCCGTTCTGACCCGTGCATGGCCGGGCGTCCCTTGGTGTTCCCTCTGCACGAGCAGTGTCTGCGCGTCTAACTTCCCGCCCCGTTTAGACGCGTTTTCAGTGTCTCCCGACTGCAGTGTTGTGTCGTGTCGTGTGGTGTCGTGTCGTGCAGAGCCGGGCTATCGGCTCTCGCCCTCTGCCTTTTCCGCCTGTCCTCTTTGCTCAGTGCTCTGTCCGCGGGCTGTTCTCGGCTCCCGGAGCAGACCCTAACGCCGCTCCTCTCACGCCTATCTTCGCAGATTAAATTCTTAGTGGCTAGGAAGAAGTTTAAGGAGGCTCTGAAGCCGTACGATGTGAAGGATGTGATTGAGCAGTACTCGCAGGGCCACAGTGACCTGCTGGCCAGGGTTCGCACTCTGCACGGAAGGTAGGGGTGATCGTGGAGACGGGCCGCTACCAGTAGTGAGCGGCTCTAGCCAGCCTGTATATCGGCAGCAGAGCAGCACTCGCCGACAGCGCCGGTACCCGCCCTCACCAGACCGAATTTTTGAATACCTCCTAATTGAAATTTCATCCAAATGCACGTCACCTGCACGATACATTTCCAATCAACGAGTCCAAAGTTAGCGGCAACTTCAATTTGTATCCCCCAAGGTTGAAAATTATTAAACAAATCAATGCGCAAGCAGGCAAGATGACAATTTTGGTGCGGAGGGAAATGAAAGCGGTCTATAATCTAGAAGTGTTTAATCGTCACGAACATTCTAATTAAACAACGTTTGTTTCGGGCTTTGAACAAAACAAATAAAATATAATTAAGTTATTTATTGTATAAATGATTATCAAGTGAGATCTTCCATTTTTCTGAGGCATAGCACTTTCAAAAGTATCAATGCATGAACCATAGCACGCGAACCACGAGCTTGAAATCGCACGGTGCCGTAATTGTTGCTTTAAGCACTGGTGCATTGGCCGCATCTTTCTTTCTGTGACTAGTTAGTGTAAATGTAGGTATATCGTCAATTTTTGTGAGTGCTGCACATATTTGTTTGTCAGTATCAATGCATGTGAGTCAAAGTATTGATGCTCGTAAAGACAATTATGCATGACTTTCGTTCTATGTGGGATTTTCTAGATGTTTGCTTTTTCCCTTAATTGCAACTAGTGTAGTAAGCCTCTTTGTCCTGTGTAGATTGACATGCCGTCAGGCAACTACGGAAAATGTAATTTCTTTGATGGCACCATGAAGAAGGTTGCTATGAACCATCAAAATGGAAACACAATAGCCGTTTTCACGACGGGCTATCCGACGAATGCACCTGATCTGATCAAGTCTGCACCTAATATCTTTTACAGCAAATATCTTCATTTTATGAATTTATTTCAGTGTTTTAATCGATGATGCTCTCTGATAATATGACAAAGCAGGCATATAAGCAATTAGTGCAACCATAGCTGATAGCTGCTAAGAGACACACTGAACCTGATTTGACCAAATCTGCACCTAATCTGCACCAGATGTGCACCAAATGTGTACCAGATGGCCGTCGTAAAAACGGCTATTATGACACTAATTATGCCTCTGAGGCATGTGAAGTGAGGTCAAGTACCATGCCTATTTAGTCATGCAATCTTACTCCATGGCTTCATTTGTCAGAAACATTTTTTTTTGTCAGAAATGCTTAAAGGGACCCTCCCACCTTCAAAAAAGTTTATGAATTGGCATGAAAGTGATGTCGCTCGGTTCAGAAAGAGCGAAAACGAATATCTACCAAATTTCACCGAAAAATATTCCCCGGTTTTCAAGATATTATACTTTTACTTTTGTTTACTTTTTTGGGATCTCCGCTGTTTCTAGCGACTTTATTTTAGAAGTGCGGCGTTTGCGGCAGATGTTGCGCGCAAATAGCATATACCACCGCGTGCTACAAAACGTTTTAGTCAAACATTTAAAAATCGTTAGATATCTGCGCTGACGTCACACATTCAGAGCGGTATTCCTAAGCATTATAGCCCCTCTGAATCAAAATGCTGCAATTTTGAAATTCAATATTTCCGATTTAAGGCATTTCTCGATGTTGTGAGTGCCGAAACCGGTAATTGTGAGCCAGGGACCCCATTTTGGCTATCTCAACTCAAATCTAATGTTAAGGTGGGAGGGTCCCTTTAATATAGAGACGTGGTTCTGCCATAAGAACACCTCAGCTGTTTACCTCATTATAGCGGATTGACTATTCAGTATGTCTTGTTTTAGTGTGGTCATGAACATTTAAGTGATGCAAACTTTTCAGGTTGACCTGGAAGATAATAGTTTTAGCTCATTCCATGTGTCTCGCCGTTGGTGGAAGAATCGATCGTAAAAAGTATAGCACATATAGAGGTCGCAGAAAATTTTAGCACAAAAAACGTCTACTCTGGCAGATTTTGCCCTTTGGAGACGTTGAGACAATTGAAGCAATTAAGTTCCAAAGAGGTCCCAAAAGCTTTTGGGAATATTTTTCCCCTGCAAGCACCAGCCCCATCCACCAGCTACGAGCTGATTTGTGAGAAAAAAATGAAGCAAAAAGCATCCAGTCTGAGCAGGATTGCCTCTGTATGAACTGACCATGCATCTGGTTTAAATGATTTATTTACGTTCGCTGTGATGAACATTTCAGACGTTTTGAATGTCAATTTAATTGAATGATATAATTTCAGTAAGATTTCGTTTCTTCCCGCTCTTGTTTTGACACACTGTTTTATTAAAGCTATTACAAAATGTTTGATGAGTAATTAGCTATTTCATTTGCTAGTGTTTTGTCTGCACCCGAAAGCGTATTAGATCTTTGATGTTCTAAACAGAATTTCCTTCACAGGCTGGATGTTATACTTGGGAAACAAGGATCAAAAGCGAGGGACGTGTACGACTCCAAGATCAGCTTGGCTTCCAGGGTTGTTAAAGTGGAACGGCAGGTGAGTGTATGTAATGGAAACCCGGATAATTACGCGCAACACTTGAGGAACAACATCACCCCTACCCCGATACTCGCCGTTTTGTTAACTCCGACACGCATAATTGTGCAATTTGGTATCGATTCGTCGCTTTCTAAGGACAACGTATTTCAAAATAGCTCCTTTATCAATGAAAGTATACATGCATGTAATATAGGTATAAATACATCAATGTACAATGTACATGCATAAGTACGCATAAAATATGTACGTATGCCGGAGAGCAGCGCCACGGACTTTATAACGCCTCTGTTAGCGACCCTTCGTCTCAACTATCAGCTTATCTGCGCATTCATTATATTCAAAAGGCTTTCAAAGTCTTACGTTAAAATTATCGCATCTTAGAAATATAATTAAAATAAATTATTATACGATATGTATTTACGTTTGCTACTTTCTGCATTTTATATTTCCGGATACATTTAATATAAGTTGCGTTCAACATTACATTATTTGTTTTGAAGCGTATGCTTGTGATCATAGGCGGCGGAACGGGAAGGGCACCGGGGCACCGTGTCCCCTTTGATTTTGGCGTTTACCCTGGTTTACCCTTAGCGCCCCTGCCAGTTCTGCGCTGCTTGCCTTGAAAAGACTAATTTGCATTAGATCCATATGTTCTTTGAAACTATAAATCCTCGGGAAATGCTCTATTTAAATGCGGCATCGACTTACTTCATTGATCAGCTGCCTACAACCGTGACTTTAGTGGCGCAATGAGTTTGCTTGAAATTAAGAGCTAGAATGACGTCAAAAACAAGGGTCAGTTGAGTTTATGCTTGATTATTTATCTTCTCATTATGTATAAAACCGAGTAGATGACTTCGGATTTATCTGTGGCTTGCATGTTAACAGCTAGTTGAGTATTTCGAAGCTGCGTTTAAATATTCATCATTGGTATGCTCTAAATAGCTTGATATTGTTATATTTATATTTAAGTGTGTGTTATTCAAGAACATGAAAACCTTGCTGCACGGCTCCAACTGACTCTACCTCGATCGATAGTGTTTGTAAACAACTGTAAGACTGGCAGCGGAATAAATAAAACGGCAACTAGGTAAGTCGGACAAGCTCAAACCATTTACAGCTGGCCTCTAGTTTGACACTAGCATTTCCACTGATTGTAGGGATATCCCCGTCAAGAGCAAATAGTAAATTTCAAAGCGGCTTAAGCCAAGAAGCTTTCCCTACCGTTTGGCTGTGTTTCAAACTGTATAGTTAGTTGTATAAATTCAATCAGTCTAATGCGCGTGTACCTCTGCCGCTGCTCTCCCACAGGTGGAAGACATCGAGGGCAAGCTGGACCAGCTACTGGAGATGTATATGGAGGATCGGCGGCGTCTGCTGGCTGCCCTGCCCGTGTCGCCGCCGCCGCCGCAGCCGCCGCCGCCGGAGCCGGCGCCGGCGCCGCCCTCCGCCAGTCCTCCGGCCGCCCCCGCCCCCGCCACCGCCCCGCCGTTCCTCAGCCAGCCGCCCACCTGTTTTCCCCTGCCGGGTCCGATGCCTAAGTCGATCCTGGTGGACAAACAGTCCTCGGAGCCGACCACGCCCATCTACAAGCACGCCCGGCTGCCGGTCATCTCGCGGGGCAACAGCGATGTGGCGCAGCGGGTCAAGAAAAAGGTCACGCTCAGGTGAGACAGTCATTGTGTGGTAGGGTGGCGGGATGTTTCTCTCTCTCTCTCTCTCTCTCTCTCTCTCTCTCTCTCTCTCTCTCTCTCTCTCTCTCTCTCTCTCTCTCTCTCTCTCTCTCTCTCTCTCTCTCTCTCTCTCTCTCTCTCTCTCTCTCTCTCTCTCTCTCTCCCCCCTCTCTCTCTCTCTCTCTCTCTCTCTCTCTCTCTCTCTCTCTCTCTCGAAAAATGCATAATCGGGTAGGTCTTTTGAAGCTGTCAGTTTGGTATTCTGAGTTCAATTGCTCGGTGTGAATTTCTCGGGCGAGGGGATGGCACGTTAACCCGCGCCCCGCTGGGGGGGGGGGGGGCAGAATCTGCCCCCCCTCCCGTTTTTCGCCAATAACTTCTAAACGCGTTACGCCAGCAACGTCAAAGTTTCAGTACCTTATCATACATCAATTTGACACGGTCCCTGAAAATTTGAGCGGAATCCGTCGGAAATTTTTTGAGAAATTGACGTTTTTGTGACGTCATGTTCGCCATTTTCGCCTCAAAAACGGCAAAATTTCAAACGCCGCTAACATCTTCATTTTTAAAGGAATCAAGACGTAACAAAAAGGTTATACGTTATTTTACTTTGTCTATGAAATGGCCATCTCGGGTTTTTGAAAATGTTGGATTTTGGCCCAAATTTTTTCAAAAAAACTGACTTTTTTGGGAAAATTATGATAAAATCAAAAAATTTGAAAGTATCGAAAAACCGGAATATATGTCAGAGAAGTAGTCGATGTGCACCTATATACCAATTTTTAGAAGAATCGGTTAAAAAATGTGGGAGTTATTCAAAATTTTATGACGTCACGACACACAAATTTTTTGAAAAATGATTTTTTTGTAAGTTTTAGACCTCGTACGGAAACAAAAATAGCACCATTCGATTCGCCGTGAAAAACTGCATCGGATAGACACCTTTTTAGGCCTTAAAAACCAACTTCAAAATTTGACCTCACTCGACCTGACCTTGACCTGACCTTGACCTGAAATTCATCCAGAGGTGGTCCATATCACTTATTGAGTGTGCCTATTGAATTCTATGAGTAAAATGACCCATAAAACATGTGTCGCACATGCCCTTTTCTATATTTTGTTTTTGGTGACCTGACCTGACCTGACCTGACCTTGACCTTGACCTTTGAATGACATTGCATGCAACAAATATTGTCTTGGTAGTCTAAGAACACGCTTTGGGCAATCAGTCTCAGTCCATTCTTCGGCAACTACGGTGCAAGGCCGATACTGTAGAAACTTGCATTTTGTACCCTTGACCTGACCTTGACCTGACCTCTGACCTTTTTAAGCAAAAAAATTTGGGCTCTTTAGATCCGCCTTGTTGAGAGCTTTCGATCGCCGTTTTCCCCGTCTTTCTACGACCATCGGTTCGGAAGTTAGACAGGGGGGGCAGAATCTGCCCCCCCCCCCCAGCAGGGCGCGTATGGCTGAATAGTAGGGTTGTTCAAAAAAACCGAATTTTGGAAAAGTATATGGGCTCATGGCTCATGTGGTGCGATATTCTTTTCTGAGACCAATGATGCCCTTTTTACTGAAAAGTATTAACTGTTAGGGGCTCCTCAAACGGCTTAAAGAGGACCATGTTACGCCCGCCGACCGGCCGGTGTCAATAAGGGCGAGAGTTCGACGCCGCACGGCGGCGGCAGCGCCTTATCGGCACCGCGCGCCACGACATCTGCCGGGCGGCCGGCCGGGCGGTGGGAAGTTATAAGTGCGTGGTCTTATTGCACACGATCGGGGTGAGCTATCCCATGTTTTCGGGGCGGAAAGTTTCAGTGCAGCATCGGTGCGTCTGCCACGGTGGTCTGTGTCGATGGTATAGAAAATAACTCAAGCAGAGCTCAGAAAAGAATGAATGATTCCGGGTAGTTGCCTCGAAATAATCCGTTTCAAGAATACGCTGCCTTCTTAACGTACCGTATCACTTGTTAATTCTTCAAAAAGCAAACTCTGAGCAATTACACACCTCTTTGCATTGCTGTTGACAATTTACGTTAGTTTTTGACGGTGGCTCGCACCCCCAATATGCTGCCGCGCAACTTTATTCCAACGGCGAAACGGCAACTTCGCGAGAATCGAAAATTCACGATATACGTACAGCAGGGGCTGGCAATGCAGTATGCACAAGGACAGAATATGGAGGAGACCCGACAGTCATCGGCCCAAGTTTGGGGGTGGCTTTGACGAGCATATGCGTCACCAATGTCATTATTCAGATACGTTGATGTCAGATGCTGGGGCAACAGAATCGACGCCAGGTGTAACTTAGATTAGCGGGTCGAAAGAAAACATAACATGTTTGGGGATGACAGAGTGGCCACCCTGACAGTGTGACGAAGTGAGACATGAGTAGAGACATTAGCCGGAGTACCTACTCATATAAATCAAGCGCCGTTTATCCAATCCTTCGAGCATAAGCGACGCCGGCAGTCCGGCCAGGGCGGCCGTGCCCACCGATGCCGATCAAGACCCGAATCCAGACCCGGCATAGAACACAGCTCTGCCCTGACGTGACACATTACCCCGGTGTGTCACTCATGACGGATAGACCAATGCAGGAGCCTTGCCAGCTCCTGTTGTACCTACTTCGTTAAATTTTCGATTCTCGCTAAGTTGCCGTTTCGTCGTTGGAATAGAGTTACGCGGCAGCATATTGGGGCTGCGAGCCACCGTCCAAAAGCAACTTAAATGGTCAACAGCAATGCAAAGAGGTCTGTTATTGCTCAGAGCTTGCTTTTTGAAGAATCAACAAGTGATACAGTACGTTAAGAGGGCAGCTGTATTCTTGAAACGGGTTATTTCGAGGCAACTACCCGGAATCATTCATTCTTTTCTGAGTTCTGCTTGAGTTATTTTCTATACCATCGACACAGACCACCGTAGCAGACGCACCGATGCTGCACTGAAACTTTCCGCCCCGAAAACATGGGATAGCTCACCCCGATCGTGTGCAATAAGACCACGCACTTATAACTTCCCACCGCCCAGCCGGCCGCCCGGCAGATGTCGTGGCGCGCGGTGCCGATAAGGCGCTGCCGCCGCCGTGCGGCGTCGAATTCTCGCCCTTATTGACACCGGCCGGTCGGCGGGCGTAACATGGTCCTCTTTAAGCCGTTTGAGCAGCGCCTAGCAGTAATACTTTTCGGAAAAAAGGGTATCATTGGACTCAGAAAAGAATACCGCACCACATGAGCCATGAGCCCATATACTTTTCCGAAATTCGGTTTTTTTGAACAACCCTACTGAATAGCCCAGCGGGGCGTGGGTTAAGTTGCAGAGGTCGGGTCTGGCAACGGGATTAGCGAGTTGGTTTTAAGCAAAGTTATTCATTCACTCTCTCTCTCTCTCTCTCTCTCTCTCTCTCTCTCTCTCTCTCTCTCTCTCTCTCTCTCTCTCTCTCTCTCTCTCTCTCTCTCTCTCTCTCTCTCTCTCTCTCTCTCTCTCTCTCTCTCTCTCTCTCTCTCTCTCTCTTCTCTCCTCCTCTCACCACCTAACAACCTCCATTGGGACATGCCTCGCTCGAGACGTTGTTAGTTCGGGTTCCATGGCGACCATGAATTGAGTTGCAGCGCTGGTGGGACATAAGTTTCCAGGTTCTGACTTTAATGTTGGGCCGTACGTGACGTGTGAAGTTGGAACGCCTTTGGTCACAAATATCGAGTGGATAGCACAAGACATTGGCTTTCAAGAAGTGCGCAGTTCGTGCGACTTTGAATTATCCTAGCATGTGCATTGTGTCAACGTTTACGTTTTTATATTTTAGTGTAATGTAGTTTAGGCCAGTATTCTTATGCCTATGTACTTGTATATTGATGATATTGCGGGTTTTGCTCGCGTTATCATTTTCTCACTAAATTGCTATGTGTTCATAGATTAGGCCATGGTAGCTGGTTCGTTATGTGCGATACTGTAGCCGAACAGCTTCATTCAATCAGCAAATGGCTTCATTGAATATTAGAGCGATCTGCAATGAGCAAATTAATAAATAATTAAATAAGCAAACAGACGTCAACTGGTGTCTGTCGGCTCTCGTCGCCACACAAAGGCGTCTAGTTTTCCCCTGTAGTCCGGGGCTTTATTTCAGTGCTCCCATTGCTCTCAGGCCTGTTTACACCACCACGATCTGCCTCCGGCGCTACTCAGCAGCTCTCTTGGCGTCAGCTTTACCGCGATTCCACGAAACTAGTTTCTTCGAGAGCTGCTAGAACAAAACATCTGTATGTGTCGTCTGTTTCACTCTGCTCGGGATGAAAACAGGCCTTCGTTCCTAATCTTACTCCTCTAACTACACCGATATGTGCTATGCTGATACAAACTCTGGATTCATTGTTTCTCAATGCCTACTTACATTATATGTGGGCGAGATTTCTGACTTACAGAAAGCGATGATGGACGATTCAGACTCTCTTGATAAAGTGGCCGACCCTCTGATAGCGCTGGTGGATAGCTCATTGGATGTTTCTGGGACTGCGGGATCGCTGCAGACGGAGTGGAATTCTGGAAGCCACTTCATGGTGCCCAGTTAACTGGAGCCTCGCTGGCTGATGGGCTCAGAGATAACTTACTAGCGTTCAGCCAGTGATATGCTGCATAGTAATTCTGGGTAAGTCGGACTATCTGCGTTCCATAAATATGTCGGCTAGAGCTCATTTACGAGATAATGTTAACGATGAGAAGGAGTTTACTATCTGGCTTATGTAAATGGCTTATCAGTGATAATACAATTCATCCAATTGCATTGAATGTATTACTGTCAGAAGAAATGTGGAAATCATAGGCGTTGCATCCAGCACAGATGTGCTATTTTGAATCATTATTTAAAAAAATGTTTCTCGAGAAAATTAACTTTTTTCAGAAAGGGTCCATAAAGATATCGCTTACACTAGAGCAGAGAAGCTCTGTTACCAAGGATGCAGCTGACTACAGGGCAACCAAACCCGACATTCCGTGCTGAAAAAGCATCACTGATAGCAATTGATAGCCCCAGTGGCAACAACTTGCGTTGGAACGGCAGAAACTTGGAGAATAACAGTTCCTGATGGCAGCCCGCTAGTCAAAGCATGCGAAGGGCGCGAGTTTTGTCCGTAATAACAGCAGACACTTGTTTGATTCGACAGAGACCATCACGTAACTCTTTTGTCAACCGGTCAGACTGTCTTGGTACCTTCCAGCCTATCACGAAAGACGCCGCCATCATTGAACCACCCTCCCCCGAACAGGGCAGGGGTGGCGCAGCGTGGGGAGGGGAGGGGTGAGGGAGGAGATCGGTGTGCCGACCGTGACCGGTGGTCACGCAATGACCGGATATAGACTAGTTCCGGCGGTCGGCCGCGGTCAGCCGATATCTTTACCAGAGCTGTCGGCGCGGCGACCTCAGCTCGACGAGCCCCGTCAAGGCGGCCTGATGAGCTGGGGCGACTCCAGCAGAGCGGAGCAGACCGCGCCGGCCGAGTTTGGAACGGGGCGCTATATTCGTGGCTCGCTCGAGATACTCCATTTCACACGTTTTAGCCGGGAATAGCTCGGAGCCATTTGGGCCGGGCCGCCACCTCTGTCAGAGCGGTGCGACGTAGGTGTAGTGCCAGAGAGAGTTCAGTATCGACTTCTGACCGAAACCGCGGGTCATTGGGGGCTGCAATATTTAGAGTCAGAGGGTCAGGGGAAGTTTTAATCCAGCGGATGTCAGTATAGTTTCTGGAGCTGCTTACTTTTGCTAAATATATGAGCGCTCATTGTTCAATGTTGATCCGTTTTAGGAATTTGCTTCTAAGCAAGTTGATTTCGATAAATGCCACAACATGCTACCCTTCGCTTTGTAATTTGTATGTACTGCCTTGTCCTTTTCTCAAGTGCAAGCTATAACAAGTAAAATTACATTCAGATGTTTGGTTCAGTCGCTGGCGACACGGTGCGTATGAAAGCGACTTATTGAGATGGGTGTGCTAACCACTTGTTATTTCTATTGTCCACAGGCACTCGCTGCCGGGCGAGACGGAGCCGCTGCTGACGGTTCCGACCAGCTTTCTGGAGGCGCCCGAGGGCTTTCAGAGCCCGCCCCAGGTCACTGTCGAGTCGGAGCTCAGTTTTCCCGACTCCGTCATCGACTCGGACTCTGGTGAGTCGCATTAATCTCCGCAATACTTTAGTTACATGACTCAACGATAGTATTCATGCGTTTAAAACACCCCTTAACCCTATTCCGGGCGAGGGGGACCTTTAAGGCCCCCCCTTCAGGTTTTTCTTGTGCCATTGCCAAACGCCGCAAGACTGAAAGCTCATACTTGGTGACTTTTCCTAAACATTCATTGCGCACATTTTGACAAAAAAAAAGTTGCCGGGTCAGGTCAGGTCACCAGAGGCGGTTTGGTGGCCCCACCTCAGAAAAGTTTGCAATCACGCCAGAGCTAGAGTTTTTGGCGGATCAATTTCTTCTCTTCAGGTTTTAGTTTGGGTATCAGTATGTGCAATTTGTATATCTCATAATTTTTATATCTGTGACCTGAGGTCAGGCCAGACTCATGACCTTTACATTGCAAGCCTATGGGAAAATATTGAAACGCCTCCTGCTTCGTGTAAACGAGTCGAAACCACCCAAATCTTTCAGTCTTATGGAAGATCATCTCATCGGTGATGATCCTGGTGCCGCTAATTGACAGGGGCACCGGGAAAGGTCATCTGAGGTCATGTGACCTCACAAATCGTTTTTCTGTCAATAAACCACGACATGATGGTGCTAAAGACTTGTAAGTGGTACCAAACTGCTCGCCTGGTCAAGGCGCGTCGTTTGGTATGCAGCATGACCATACCCCACAACCTCATTGATGAATGACCTGACCTTGACCTCGGGTCAAATTTCAAATTGACCTGTGAAGGTCATCGCATACTTATTTTGCATCGCCTCGACGAGAGCAACAAAAACTATATTAGTTTCATGTCTCTATGTTTCTTAGTTTAAAAGTTATATAGGTAACTAATTCCAAAACATTTTATCGTTGATGACCTCTGGTGACCTCAATATTGACCTGACCTGAAAGTGTACTTGTGAAAGTTGTAGATCTTTAAACGATCTATCAAACGCCGTTTGCCGTTTGTCGCTGCGATGTGTAGTTTTTGAGATCTGAAGGGGGGCCGAAAAGACCCCCACCGCCAAGAATCGAACCTTTCAGAGCCCGCCCGGAATAGGGTTAAGCAAATCAATATGGAAGCACATCAATGACAGGCACGCAAATTATTTGCTAAGCTTCTTTGTGGACTTTGTTGAATGTTCGTTTTGCACTGAACGTTGACTTTGTTCCCGTCCTTGCTCCGGCTGTGAGTTGTTTACGAACACACCACTCCCGCTACAGGAAATTACCGCCCGGTTTCGATTTTACGCAACATCTCTCATCTAATTAGACTCCGAGCACTAATTGGCAATGGAAGATCGGCTGGTTATAAGTTCATTGGCCTTGTTGCTAGCTTTTTATTGTTGGTTGCTCCTCGAATTTCTTCTCTCTCTCCATTTCTCTCTCTCTCTCTCTCTCTCTCTCTCTCTCTCTCTCTCTTTCTCTCTCTCTCTCTCTCTCTCTCTCTCTCTCTCTCTCTCTCTCTCTCTCTCTCTCTCTCTCTCTCCCTCTCTCTCTCGCTAGTCGCGTTGAATGCTCGTTTCAATCACATCCCTTTTGGGTGATATTTTATATATCTGTTACAGGGAGTATGCGATTTCAGTTAGTTTGCAACGACCCTAGGGTGGTTGTAACCTCCCTGAACGATCAGTTTGTTTGCAACGACCCTAGGAACGTTACAAAATAACTGCTCGTTCCGGGACGTTGTAACGAAACTAGGGTCGTTGCAACCTCCCTAGTTAGTATGCAACGAACCTAGGGTTGTTACAAAATAACTAGGGAGTTTAAGAATTCATCGAGTCTCATTTCACATGAGGGCCGTCAGCAATCTTGTCCATTGAAAATCTTGTTCAATCTAGTTCATTTAAAAAGAAAAGAAGAACAAAATTTGAACATTCAGCTCAGGAGTATTTCACGACGGCCATCTAGTACACATTTTGTGCAGATTAGGTGCACATTTGGTGCAGATTTGTTCAAATTAGATGGGCATTTGCCAGGAAGCCCTTCGTAAAAACGGTTATTATCCGCTCGTTTCCAGTCTTTTTGTGATTGTTAACCCGCGCCCCGTAGGGCTACCGGCGGACCCTACCACCCGTAGGGGGGGGGGGGGCCGTTTCGGCCCCCCCCCTAAGATCTCGGAAAGTTACCGGCCGATTTTCAAAATTCAAACGGTGTTCGATAGCCCCACCCGGGAACTACCTTGTGACCAAATTTCATTGACCTAGGTCAAACCGATGACGTCACAGGTCAGGTCAAAGGTCAGATTTTCACCGTTCACAGGCAATTCAAGAAATGTGCTGTGAAAGCGAGTAAATTGGTAATTTATTGAAAACCATCGATGGTACATTGTTCGTCAAACACATACTTTGCTATCTGAGGTCACTGATACCAGGTCAGGTCACAGCGAGGTCAGGTCACCGGGGGTCACAATATGAATGTGTCGTGTGATACATGTTTTATGGTCCATTTTACATGACAAATGCGATTATGTGGGTTAGGCAGCCTTTGGGGCCAGCCTAGGTCACGTTTTTGTGAAGGTCAGGTCAAGGTCAGGTCAAATTAGGTCAAATTTCAAAGTTGATATTTTTGCATAAAATGGGTATCGATTCGATGCAGCTCGTCACGGGGAGTCTAATGGTAGTCTTTGTTTTGCTCTACGAGTTCCAGAATTGCCAAGAATTGAGTTTGAAAATTTGACGTCATCATTTTTGAACAGTTTTTTCGCTATAACTTGGCCAAAAAACGAGGTATCGATCTGAAATTTAATATGTAGATAGAAGACGGTAGGCACTATCACATATATTCCGGTTTTTTCGAAACTCAAAAAACTTTTTGGATTTTTTGGCGAATATATCCAAAAAATGCTTTTTTTATTTTTGGGGGTCAAAACTCAAAAATTTCAAAAATTCGAGATAGCAGTTTTGTAGCCCTGTCAATTCTACACCTTTTATGTCTTGATCATTTTTCTGTATCTTCAAAGCTGTAGTCCTGACAGGTCTTCTCGCGAAGGTCTTTTTTCGGTCGAAAATGACAAAACATGACGTCACTCTGACGTCATTTTTGGCCAACCTATCATAGCCTCTGGAAAAATTTTTGGTCACAATGTGTAAAATTGATGCCCGGAGGGGTCCTGAAAGTTTGGTGGCGATATCTCCAGCCGTTTAGGAGATATCGACCGAAAAGGACAGGGAGGGGCCGTTTCGCCCCCCCCCCTACGGGGCGCGGGTTAACGTTCAAACATGTGAAATGATGATGGTCCCATGCATTATAGTGGGTGTCAAGGTCACGTGAAGGTCAGGTCAAGGTCATTGATCTTTGATGACCTTAGTTCACTTCTTCTGGGTTCATATATTCTTTAGGCTAGTTTTTGGAGCTGATTTCGAATTTAGCACCCATTTGAACATTTAAGAAGTAATTTTGGCGCCTTCGTACCATGTCACGAGGCTGTCAGTGGTGGTTGACACCTACTATGGACAGCTAGCAAGACGCCTACTGGTTGACCTGACCTGACCTGACCCGACCTGACCCAAAAACATCAAGACATCATCGGTGATCAAAGCTAACATGAAATTCGTGATCAGCGCACCGAAAAACCCCGTAACAAGCTAACTCTCCAAAGTTTTAACAGGTCCCGATTTTCCCGACTTCTGAGTCACTGACCTGAACTGGAAAGTTAACCAATAACCTAGCCCCGCCATGTGCGTTTGCAGCTAGCAAAACACCAATAAGGGCGAGAGTTAACCCTCGCCCGCACATGCCATTTTCCCATCCTAGAACGCACATGGGGGGGGGGTTGCCCCCCCCCCTCGCCATTTCGTTCCTGTTGGAGATAGAGCTTCGCGGTAAAGACCAAAAAGATTCTTTGGGAAGAAACAAATCCAATGATACCCAGTTTTACCTTCTCAGGTCAGTCATTGACCTTCCAGGTCAGGTCAAACTAAAAAATGTTGCTGTTTTGGGTCACCGTTGGATATCAAGTGCGCTGCTTATCATATAGCGATGACGATGCCGTTTTCTGGTGCCCAGCTAGCTAGAACCTCTTTGTCACACTACCCGACCAGATTTTTGCTGCTGAGGTCATTTCAGGTCAAGTTAGGTCGAGGTCAGTGATATGTGTCTGTATGTCTGTGTGTGTCTGTGTGTATAATGATGTGTGCACCGATTGTTTGTGTTCCTATTACATGAAATCATGATCTGAGAAGCTTTCACCAAGAATGCAGTCAAAAAACTTCACGAAAAGTAAATTCAGCTTGCCTAAAACGCAATTATTTTAGATGACCTAGGTTGACTTTAACCCTGACCTTGACATCTGTACATCGTCGAACAACATGTTCCATGATAGGTGGGAGGTAAGACTGGCAAAAAAGGCCGAAATCAAGGTGTCAAAAGCTCACAAGGCCCATAGCCAACGCAAGATGTTGAGAATTGGCCATTTGGGTCATGACATGACCTGAAAAACAAGGTCATATCTCCGAAACCAAAAACCACAAAAACTTGAATTTTTAGTGAACATCTAGAAAGGATAGAGGAGCAGCTATCCCAAAAATCAGGCTTCTAGCTCTAAAAATGTTGAGTGCAGAGCAGAAAGACTACCTGGGGGAGTGGCAACCCCCCCCCCCCCCATGTGCCCCCTGTGAAACGAGACTCGATGATTTCTTAAACTCCCTAGTTATTTTGTAACAACCCTAGGTTCGTTGCATACTAACTAGGGAGGTTGCAACGACCCTAGTTTCGTTACAACGTCCCGGAACGAGCAGTTATTTTGTAACGTCCCTAGGGTCGTTGCAAACAAACTGATCGTTCAGGGAGGTTACAACCACCCTAGGGTCGTTGCAAACTAACTGAAATCGCATACTCCCTGTAACATATCCTTTTTATATTTTGTTAGTATATCCTCTCTAATCAGCCTTAAAATGGCTGTAAATTCACTTACTGGAAATATACAACTGACCGGGCAGCTTCCACCCCGCTGTCAGGATTACCATTTTTTTTTTTTTTACTGTCGATGATT